TGACAGCAGTGGAACATGAATGAAGAGCCAAATTAATCCTAGGGCTTCTATGACGTCGTCTTAGTAGTTTGGAGTTTTCCTGTAGTTTGAAATAGTGTTTGAACGAAGGGTTTCCTGAATGCTTTTTCGACTTTCCAGGTTCCGAAGAAGGCGACGACGCCGAAACGTCAACCGTTAATAAAAGTATTTACCAATCTTGGCTACCAGCTCAATAATATCACATACTGTATGCAATAGTATCATGCCAAGATTCATCGAAAGTCGAACATGGAAAGTCCGCATTAATCCGAATAAAACGCTGCATAGCAATTCATGGCACACCACGTGTGTCACGCGGTCCGGAACGTGCTAAACATAAGTTGCACTTCATTAGCAAAAAGTAGTGACTGTTCAATATATTTTTATACTTTGTAATTGTTTTATTCTCTTAAAATTCTAATCATGTTTTTACATTATTTGTACTGATTATTATCTTTCTACATCTATTTATTTTTTGTGTTGCTTGTTGAGTCATAATGATTATAGTGTTGAAACTTTATTGAAATGATTAATAAATTTTGTGTGGGGGAAGGTTTCAAAGGAGATAGCTCAATTCAGAGCAGGCTCGCAATCGCGCGTTCGCGGCACGTGCCCTTACACGGGAATTGAACAAATTTGGTATTCCTTCGTGCTCGTCAGTAAGGAAAGGAGAAATCTCCAGTTTCAATTGTCAATATTTTATTGTATATGTTTTTTTAACTTTTCAAATATTTCAAATATTTTATACCTTTTCGAATATTGTATTTTCTTACAATGTATTGAATGAAGTGAATAATTTATTGGTTATGTACAGATGTGTATTTTTATGAGGTAAATCCATTAAATCATATAAAGTAATTTTACTTAATGAAAGCGCAACAATGTTGTGTAGGGAGGTTAAACAGCAAGTTCGCGTAAATGATTTTCTCAGACTATGGCAGGCATTTCCCTGCTGCCTTACTTGGACTCCTGATATGGCTGCCCGTACCAGAGCTCTCATGCCCTGTAATTACAGATCGCGAATGCTTAACGTACCTGAGCGAAGAACTGGGAAACTCTCATTCGCTTCTTGGCAATATGAGCATTGATGTTGAGTATGATCTCCGACCGTTTTACTCTACAGTGCCACAAACAGCGCAAGGGTTTTTGTTCGCGCCGGACTGGTCTGTGAGTTGGCAGTTCAACATGGGGTAGTAAAGGGAACACTACAGAGATTTCAATTTACTCTATTTTCATTTTAGGTCGCCTCCTACGAACACCTCGGAAAATTGGAGGAACACACTATTGCATTTTGGAGATCGCTGTCATTTCTCAGTGCATTTTATGCGAGCATTCACGGAGGAACACTCCGAGTATCTCTCACTACTGGACCTTGAAGTAAAGTCAGAATTCTTTTGTGATAGTCTCTAATGGTCAAATGACACGTTGATTCAAAAAGCCGATTCCCGTTCATATTCAGGAGATCACTGGAAATATTGAAAGCAAATAGCCTCTTCGAGGACACCGCCTTCGTTCTTTTATCCGGCCGTGGTCCGTGAAATCAAATGAAGTAAGTGGTAATTCTTACGTAGTATTGAACAGAACTTTCTTCGGAATTACTGTTTCCTCGTTCATCGGTATGTTGTCCTTCAACACACTCGGTCACATTATTCTCTCATGTGGGCATATTGAGTGAGAAAGGATGTTCTCCAACACTTTGAACAACTTGTTTTAGAAAAAAAAAATCGAAATACATCCTATTTGTCTACCCTTGATTAATGGAGAGTGTTCTACCTGATTATTAAAGGAGAGTGTTTCCTGCTTTTTTGTAAGCATATATGTTACGACTTTATAGAGGTTTTCAGAGCTAAAAATTTCCCCTAAAATTCAAGACTCTTTTCGACCAATCGAGGGAGCTAACGCCTGCGCGCGTTGTCTTTTGGAAGGATGTCGCTTACCATGAGTGCCCATTAGTACATATTAGCGCTTGCAAGCTGGGGTTATTTTATGAGGTAAGACAACGTATAGGCTGGCCATCTGCACAGAATGAGGCTTTTTATTCAACCCACTGCAGGCGCAGCCGAACCTAACCACGAACTAAGTTGGCAGTATCACTAGGCTGCACCTAAGTGACAACTATCACGCTTGCGCGCAATCCCGGTATAGGGGAACTTTGTATGGCATGAATTGCACCTTTCTGACAAAGCGCAACGGACGGTCCTGATTGAGTTCTCACTTCTTTGTACACATTAAAGGATAAAGTCTTCGCTGTTGATCAATCCCTTTGTGGGATGCGGCACGCATTCTACTTT